TAGCTTCTGGCAATATCTCTACTAAAAGAAAGCAGGTCACAAATGACCTCCAAGTTGCCAAAATCAGAGCTCTCATTTCTGTTCTCATCTTACTATTAACTGCTCAAGCATTAGATACATTTGACCCTTTTTCCTCCTACAAACTTTTTTTTAAATACTTACTATCTCAAATGTTACTCCTTAACTGATCTCTGTTTATCTCCAAGTATCAGAGCAGCTCAGGATTCAACCCTAACTAAATCCATCCTCCTAGCAACATTCTCACCAAAGTCCAACAATTATAAAAAGCACAAAAGTTAATTACATACAAAACTTAGGTATTAGAGATCAATTTTCTCAAGGAATAGGCACTGAAAACAACTGCTGGAGATCTCATCCAGTCCCAGGGCTTCAAGTTTACCACATACGCTGGCTATTTTCATGTCTCTATCTCCAGCCCAAACTTTTCTCTAATCCACCCTCATAACAAATATCTCCACACAAATATTTAATATTTAACAAGCACGTTAAATTTGAGTTCCTACCCTAACTTCTAATCCTGCTACTCTCTCAGCCTTCCACATTTCAGGAAAGAACACAAGTACTCACACAATCTGTATAACCAAAATTTAGGTGTAATCTTTGATTTCTCAATTTGTATCATTCCAACCCATCAAAAAATTCAACTCTCCCTTCCCAAACATACCCCAATTCCATCCTCCACTCCCACCCTAATCCAAACTGTGATTGCTTAAAAGTATTGTGCAAGCCTCCTAACAGGTCTCACYGTTTTCCTTCTTGCCCACCCTACATCCACTTTCCCTACAGCATCAAGGTAACTTTCTAAAATTATAAATGAAATTCCCCACTGCTGATGAAGGCTTCCCATTTTACCTCAAAAAACCCTAGCCCACAACACATCCTCTGGCCCTTTGCCTAACTCTAATCTCCCCTTTACCTCAGCAATACAGGTCTTTTTTGATTTCCAAAATACACTCTTAAATTCTTTTTAAAGGTCTGTGCCCTAGCAGTCCCCTACAGAAAACACTCCCCTCATCTCTGAATGCTCATTATTCAGATCTCAGACTAAATGTTACCTTACCCAGAAAGACCTTCTGTGACTAGTCTATTTAAAAGTCAAGCACTACACCATCACCTCACACTATTCAGTTTTCTACACAGCACTTATCATTGCCTACTTCTTTATATTTGTTTTTCTGTATCTTATCCCTCTAGAATATACATACACATCATGAGAGTCCAGCCTGGCATCTAATAGTAAGTACTTAATAAATATTTGTTAAATAAATGAATCAACATGCAAACACACTACACTGAGGGAGCACTGACTTGACATTTCACCAAAAGAATGTATTTAATTCATTAAAAAGATTTCATTATGTGCCTACAATGTGCCAGGCTCTGAAAACACAGCTCTGGTAGAAACCACACAAGACTCCAGTTTCTTCACATATCTGTTCTACCAATATGCCAAGAACCGTTCATTTCACCTCTACAATATGGTACTTTATGTACTACTACTCAATGTTTAAGGCACTGTATATAGCATGACTATATTGAAAATACAATAAATCACAACAGAAACAATCTGTTGGTAAATAATGGCTAACAAATACTACACACAGAACTAATACTAAAGAAATACTTTATAACAATCACCATCATCACAAAAATAAACCACAAATGAGGTAACTGTAGATTCCTGTACAACACACTAAACATGCTGTTTATAGAAGTCAAAACTTCATAATTCTCTTATCAAAATCATCTAATGTACAGTTTTAATGTCACTTATATAGTAAYGTAACTTCATTTCAGGTCCTGCATTTAAAGTTTACTGGCTTCCCACTCCCATTATTTAAAGCACATAACCAGTGTCGGGGTTAGCACATATAGGATAATTCTATATACCACATACTCCTGTTGCAATGATTTCAAAATTTTTATTCTAGAATCTGCCTGTTCTTAATTAATGGCTGTAAGCAGCACCAACAAAAAACTAAGTGACTTTGGATCTGAGCTTAAAAACTATATGCATTCCATTTTCTCCTAAATGTCCATCACATCAAACTGTTRAATTTTTATCTTTTAAGAATAGCGGTATATCAGCCATCTCACAATGCTTTAGTATGTAGGTTATTTAATTATCTTCTATATTTTATAGTAAGTCAATCTATTAAAAATAGAATATCACATAATGAAAGAAAAGTCTCCCCATCTCACTTGTAACACATTTCACTGTTTCTTATTGCTTATATGTTCTTAAAGAGGAGATGCACTACTACAGTAAAAATAAAAAGAGCTTTGCAAAGGTTAACAATAAAGGCAGTGCATGATAATGGTCATGCACTGGTAMAAAATAATAAGGGAAAGACTTCCAACTTTCAAAAAATAGAGCAAATAAAAACACCTTTAAAACAAATTATCTTGCCTTTTTCATTTTCTACTACCCTTTTTAGCCAGAGCAGTTAGGTCAATAAAGCTCCCATTAGACCCAAATCATGACCTTCCTATAAGTCCCTGTAACTCCTCCAGTCCAGCCAGCATAGCTCACTAAACATTTACTTATTCAACAAATGAATCTTTAATACCCACCATCTCTCAATCTTCTCTTCCTCCTCATGCTCATCTAGAACCCAGGAAGTTTCTATACTAGCAACCTTAAGTTATTTAATTTCCCTGGTTCGTTCCAGGTAAAAATTGAACCAAATTTTAAGCTACCAAAATACAGATCTGAGAAGCCCAAATCTATTAATTGTAGGTATACCTACAGATCTCACTAAGAATTCTATCCTTTCTTAAATTTTAGATCTATTTCTAAAACCTCTCGTTACATAGTTTCACAAACTAGAAACATCACACTGAAAATTATTTTCAATGTTTCCTTTTTATAGGAATTCTAAAGCACTGTATCAAAAATAAACACTAATTATGAAGTTAAAATAAGAGCAGGGGGTATGGCACACTGGCAGATGTCTGAGGCCCTGAATTGATTCCCACTACAAACAAAAAAAAGATGGAATTAGAACAGTTGTTTTGAAAAACTTTTTTTGAACTATTAGCTTTTACATTTAAATTAATAGCAACAATTTATATAAATAATAACAAAAAGTTGAGGAAGCCATTGTAACAATGAGCTTACTGAAAATATAGTTGGGTAATATACTAATACATTCCCTGTAAATTACTGGAAGATAAATGTAGTTGAGAATTTATACAAATGTTACAGACTCTGATTTCAGTGGAGTATGGAGTCACTGCAGAACTTCAATACACCACACATTAAAAAAATAAAATAAAATCTTAGGTTTTGGTAATTCTGACATTAATTCTGAATATGATGCTGATAGTTATAGTGGCAAAAGGGCACCAACATTTATCACCACAAACAATCAAAGGCAAAGAGGTATTTTATTTTATGTAGTTTTGTTTAAAAATTATTCAAAACAGTCAACTGAATTTTAACTTTCATCCTCCAATTTACTAATACACAAGTAGTAAGGGAATGTTCAAGAAAAATTCTATTCTATTCGTAATATCAGTCCATTGGATGTTGACAATTACTTCTGAGGACACTGAAGTCTCTCATATATAAATCTTCCGAAACTTTAAGAATTTATTATACACGCTACATATGTTTTACAACAATGAAATATCCTGATATTAAGTCATTGTGTTCCACAACTGTAAAAAGGTTAGGAACTCTCCTTTAAGAAAGTAAAGACATAGAAAACTTTATAAGAAATCTAACACTGCATCATCACTCAAAGGTGTCCAATGATTAAATAATCGATTTCATTTACTGACGGAGAACAAAATACCACTTAATCCATACATTTCTACAGGTATTCCTGTTTAGATAACACTAAGTAATTTTCTCTAGCAAATGAGTTACAGGGCCACAAAAGGAACGGAGTTCTATTTAACACCAAGGCCTCATCTTAAAAAAAAAAAAAAAAATTATATGGAGGGGGGTAAGCTGTAAGTTGCTAGTTTAAACCTCGTACTGTAACCATCTTGATGGTGTACAGCAGCCCAATCCCAGAACATACAAGCGAATTTACATTCATGACATTAAGATTCTTGGTAAAAAGTTTAATTAACTTTAACCGTGTCACTTTTTGCAGTTAGAAATACAGAAGAGAGCATCAGAATTTATCAAGTGAACTTTTGAAGTATTTAAAACCCCAACAGCTGAAGCCATTTGCAGTTTTTATGTATTTCTCCTCTTGAAAGCTACTATTCGGGGATCGGTCATAGAGGTTGCAGGGTTCCTTCCAGAACTTCTGAGACAGAACCCGTTAAATCTGAAGCTGAGACTTGAGCCTGGATTCGAAGGGCTCTCAGGCAAAAAAAAAAAAAAAAATCTTCACTAACAGGCCTCAGAGGACAATTTATGTGGGTGTGGGTTTGGGTGGCCGCACGGCGGTGGTAAAATAACCTGTGATAACACAAATCAAAGGTCTAACAATTCTAAGGAGAAGGGGCAAAGAATTCCTCTTCCCCACCTCTCACCACTCACCTCTAGCAGGCTGCAGACAGAACCTGATACTTTTTCAAGGCTCATCATCTCAGGTTACCAACTCCTAGACCTTAGTGCCTAACCAGGTCCCTGCAGGGGTGGTGACGACGCCTACATCGCCCTCCCCCACCTGTGCACCACACCAGCAGGCCAAGCTCCACGGCCCAGGCGGCCCCGTCCTCCCCTCCCCTCCCCCTCCCGCCTCACACCACGCGCTCGAGCCGAGGCCTCCCGTGCCCGCGGGCGTGTGCTCCACGCCATCTGCCTCCAGGAGACCGGCCTCCGTCTCCCCTTTCTCGGGCCACAAAGCCCACGGAGCATCGGGAGGGTCGGCCCGCCGCACCCCGCCGGGGCCCAGCTGCGCTCTCCCGAGGTCCCGGCTGCGGGCCCGTGCGCCGCCCCCCGCCCAGGCCTGGCGGGCGCCTGGAGCTCCCGCACGCGGCCGCCCCCACTGGGCCCGCGGCCCCGCCGCACGTACCGTCTCCTCTGGGTCGATGTCGATCTTGAAGGTCTGCTGCTGGAGGGTCTTCAGGGTGACCTGCATGGTGCCGCCGCAGCTCCGCTGCCGGGCCTGCGCCGGGTGGGGGCCTCTGGGCGGGGTCTGTGGCCTGGCCGCCCCGGGGTCGCCCGCGCTCCTCGCGCTCTCAGGAGGAAGGCGGTGGGGGTGGGGGCTTGTCACATTCGCCTTGCGGAGCGGCCTCTCCCCCAGCCCGTGCCTGGGGCCGCGCCGCTGCTCCCGCGACTGCGGCCTTCCCTGCGAGCTCGAGCCGCGTGCTTCTTCACGCGCCGTCCACTGAGTCCACAGGAGGAGCGAGGGGACCCACGAGAGCAGCTGAGAACCCGCTACCTCACCACAGGATGGTGGCCGCCATCATCGTGACTCGCCGAGACGTGCCCCCTCCCCCACCAGAAAAACCTGGGGGATGGGGCCGGGCTGTCCAAGCGCGCAGGCGTAGGGTGCGGCGAGCTTGTGCGCAGGCGCAACCAGAAACTCCGCCCCGGAACTGGGGGTGGGGCCGYTGGCGGCCCTGGAATGTTGGAGGCCGGGATCGGGTGTGCGCAAGCGTACACCGCGGGCGTCGGTGGCCCTCGGGGTTTCCTTGTCGCGTCTGCTGCCGGGCGCGCAGGCTACCCGCCTCCGGTCGCCGCCCCGCCTACGTTCAGACTCCGCCCCGCTGCACGAATTGCGCAATCCGTCGCCGGGGAAGCGCTACGTGGAGGCACAGCTGAGAGTGGATGCTGAGCCTGAAGCCAAGGAGCCAGAGGGCGGTCGGTAGTCGGGGCGGAGTATAAATGAAACGGTCGCGGTAACCACGGYGGTGGGTCAGCACTGTGAGGCGCTGGCAGCTGTGCGAGCTTTTGTGGTGTCGACTCATTTTTAAATCCCAGAGTAGACTTCCAACTCCAGACTGCCTGGCTGCAGATTTTGTATTCACTCTCTAACCTTAGTACCTTGAACTTAAACAGAAGGATGGATTTAAAACGGAGGTCAAGTTATTCATTTGGACAGAACAGGTCTCTTGTGCCCCATCTCATCCAGAGGAAAAGTCAAAAGTTCTTAAAATTGAGTGCATCACCGCATCCCTTGCTCTACCCCTACATGGAATTGTTGGTGGACAGTAGGCAAATATGCCCCCAAGTGCCTTATTTGCACTTGCCATTCTGTCTCCTCACCTGCTAAAGCTTTGCTCAAATTTCTTTGCCTCAGTTAAGTCTACTGAGGTTAAGTTACTAAAAATCACAACTTCTCTAGCTCCATTATCCTATCCATTTGTTCTATAGCATTTRTCATCTTCCGATTACCATATAATATACATATTTTTTAAATTTATCATTCCCTCCCCTTTGAAACCCAGGCTGAAACTGCACAAAAGCAGGGTTTTGCTTAGTTTGCTGATAGTCCCATCCAGAAACATTGCAGACGCACAGTAAATATTTAGTGGAATGGAGGAATGTGCTCCCATTTCATTAGCAGTAATTTGGAGATAAGGTCAATCAGCTCATTGATTGTTGGGGTTGGGGTGTGTGGAATAATGCATGTAAAATCTTAGTACAAGGAACATGACAGTCCTTAAGTGCTTAACTGTTAGTGGTATGCCCATTTACTGAAGAGATGACTAAAATACTGAGATGTTGAGTAATATGTTTAGAGTTACCAAACTGGTGAGTGGCAGATCCAGATGGTGAACTCAGGCAGATGACTTTAGAACTGGTGTTCCTGGGTACCTGCCTGACTGCCTCTTTAATAGTCCCTCCCTCCATGACATTTGACTTAAATTGCTCAAGTATTAAACACAGTTACAGTCAGACCACCATTAGTTGTTTGACCAATAGCAAATCACCACTCTGAGCCAGCAGCTTCATAGATATAATGTCACTGTAGTTTTTCATGAACTCTTAAAGTTTGGATATAAGTCTTTCATGAAACTTTCCTGAGCAATCTTCCTTTCCTCCTACGTGATATTTCTCCTCTCACAGCACCTATGTACCTATACGGTGATTCAATATCTAATTATCTGTCCTCTGTCTTCCTCTGTGTCTTAGTCACCAGGTGATCTCATCTTGGTMCTTGTTTTGAAGTACCTCCAGCCTGGACTAAATCTGGACTCTTAGCTATAGAGTCAGTCTACCACTTAAGCAATATTTTCACTTGTAATATAACAAGCCTCAGAAAAATAGCATGGCTGAACAGAACAATTGACTTCCTTATGGACCTTTCTTGCCCCTGCAAACTGTTCACAGCACCCCTGCCCCCACCATTCTCAGTTTTCCCTATATTGGTTCAGGGTATCACCATTTACCTGGGTATTCAGACCAAACCTAGTCCTCATTCCTAAGTCCCTTTCTTCCCTATCTTTCCCTCCCCTACTTCCATCCAATCCATTAGGGAGTCCTGTCAATTTTATTCTCCAATCCAACTCAGCCTTTTTTCACCATTTCTACTTCTATAATTATAGGTGATTTCATCATCCTTCACCTGCCCCCAACTGGTCTCTCCACTTTTGCTCTTCTTCTTCCAGCTGCCTCCCTAACAGCCAACATGGTCTTTTTAAATGATAGATCATGTTACATCTATGTATATATATGTTATATCTGTTAGTCAGATTTCTGTCACTGTGACAAAATACCCAAGATAATCAACTTACAAGGAGAAAAGATTTATCTTACCTCACAATTTCAGTTCATGGTCCCTTGGACACATTGCTTTGGACCTGTGGAGCACAATACATCATAATAAGAGAGTGTAGAGGTGCAATTGCTCACCCACTGACAGCCAGGAAGCAAAAGGGACAGAAATGTGTGGAGTCCCAATATCCCCTTCAAGGGTAAGCCCCCAATGACCTAACTTTTTTCATTTAGACTTCACCTCCTAAAGGTAGTGCTAATGGCTGATAACTAAGCCTTTAGCATATTGGCCTTTAAGCATATGGACATTTACTATCCAAATGTCCTTTAAAATTACCATGACAACACCTTGGACTACTGCAAATTCTCCAGATTCACCTCTTCTCTCTCCCTCTCATGCAGTCATCCTTCTGTACTTTCTTTCATTTACCTTTTTTTTTCTTTTATTCCTCAGACAGGCTAAATTGCATTCTTTTTTTGTACTGCTGAGGTTTTACAATGGGGGAGCATGCTAAAACACTTTACCACTGAGCTATATCCCTAGGGCTTGGCTGAGGTGGTTCTGTCCTCAGGGGCTTTGCATTTGAGGTTCCTTCAGCTTAAACTCTTTCTTTCTAAATAGTTGAATGACTCTTTTTCATTGTCAGATGGTTCTTTATGATTTGAATGTCTCCTTTCAAACTCAGGTTGAATTTTTTTTTTCCCCCACAGCACAGGGGATTGAACTCAGGAGTGTTCTACTACTGAGCTACATCCCCAGCCCTTGTTTTTTTTTTTTTTTTTTTTTGGTTTTTTGGTACCAGGGATTGAACTCAGGGGCACTCAGCCACTGAGCCACATCCACAGCCCTATTTTCTATTTTATGAGACAGAGAACTTGCAATCCTCCTGCCTCAGCCTCCTGAACTTCTGTGATTACAGGTGGGTGCCACTGTGCCTGGCTTCCCAGCCCTTTTTTAAATTTAATTTTGAGGTATGGTCTTGCTAAGTTGCTGAGGTTGGCATCAAGCTTGCCATCCTCTTGCTTCAACCTCCTGCACCCAGAGTCATGTGAAATTTTACTGTCATGTTCACAGTATTAAGAGATGAAAACTTTAAGAGGTGATTAGGTTCTTCCCTGATGAATGGAGTAAGTTATTAGCACAGGAGTGATGAGTTATCTCAGGAATGGCTCTCTGATAAAAGTGAGCTTGGTTCCCTTTGTCTGGTGTGTGTTCACTTGTCTTTCCACCATGTTATGATGCAGCATAAAGTGCCTCCATCACCAGATGCTAGTGCCTGTGCTTGGACTTCCCAGACTGCAGAACCATGAGCCAAATAAACTTCTATCATTTATAAATTACCCAATATGTAATATTCTTTTAAAGCAGCAGAAAATGGACTGCTACAGGCTCCAAGTCAAATTTTACTTTCTCAGAGAGTACTCTCCAACAGATACAAGTAAAAAACACATACAAGTAAGTGTCCCTCATCTAATAAGTTTAGGATGAGAAATGTTTCAAATTTCAACTGTTTCAGATTTTAGAATATTTGTATATATTTTATTGGTTGAGGATCCCTTATCCAAAAATCTGAAATTCAAACTCTCCAAAATCCAAAGCTTTTGGAGCATTGATAGGGTGCTCAACCTACATTAAACCTTTTGTCTTGGCAAGGCACTTGCTTCTTGGGGAGGTGAACTCACTACCATTCTTGGCTGTTGTTCTAGCACCTACAACAGTGCCTGGAGCACARCAGGTTCTTGGTAGCATATGTCAGCTGACTCCCCAGATCAGTTATAAGCTCCATATGGCCAGGTGTTGTGTCAGTCTTATTTATCATGTTGTCTTCAGAGTCTGGAACAATGTAGATGCTTCAATATCTATTGGTTCAAAAATGGCTAAGAAAATGTGAAAATATTCTAAAAACTAGTATATATTGTACAAAGTTATAATAGTAAATTCATCCTCTCCAAATACTACTGTCTATCTACAAAAGAAAAGGGAAGGGAGAGATTCCATATATTAATGTATGTTAAAAAAATTATTCTTCTCATGGTAAAAAAAAAAAGGCAAAGAAAAACAGCAACATAGAAAAGGATTGATTGAAAAATCTTCCTTCCCTCTCCTTAGAAGTAAGTTTATTTTGAGTGTTTTTAGAAACTTTCTAGATATATACAAGAATATATTCTGCCATTAGCTGTGGCAACAGTAGATTTTAAGTGTCAGTTAGTTAAAAGGTTCACCCATAATATTTTCTAAAGCACAGTGTTAAGATAAAATTGCTGTTTTTTTTTTAACTATTTCTAGAAAAACTGCATACCAGACATAGTCATTTTGACCCAGTAAAACCAGTTGGATAGGCTACATGGGCCCTCCTGGAATGCCTAAGCCCATAGTCCCATAGTTCACATGCTAGATAAGGCCTTACCCCAGTGCCACAGTACAAAGGCTTTGTCAACAAAATCTCCAGTCTCCCTTCTGTCAGAGGTGGCAGTGACTTAGAACAAAGCAGGGGCGGGGGGGGGGGGGGGGGGGGGGGGGCACCAATAGAAAGGCCTTTCAATCAGTGGGATCTCCTGACTAAGGCCTGTCAATCATCAGGACCCCCTGGCCAATCTGAAGTTCAGTCAAGCTCCCCCTGACCAACTCTAGTGGGACAAGGGACTCCAAAAACACTTTTCCTGTCCCAAGCCCTTCCCTTCCTGCTGTAAGCCCCATAAAAGTCCAGTCCGGTCGAGCTCCCATGCGGTTTCTCCTCAGACCCTTCTCCAGTCCATTCTGTCAGTCTGA